ACAGACACATACGTCCATCCCGCGATGTTGTGGTGGGCTTTGGTTTCAACGGTATGGTTCAACGGTATCATCTGCATCTTGCTTTGCTTTGTGGCGGGGCTGAGCCGAGCCGACACCGTTGTACCGCCCATCATCCTACCATCCAAACCACCCAACCACCTCCCCAGAAAAGGACAAGCGCGGGCTACAACGGCTGGCTGTGGAGTTGTCTGGTCTGTTTGGATAGAGGGGTTGGAGGGGCTTATGAGTTCTCTCTCTCTCTCTCCCTGTAGGCTCTAGGTGCCCCCCTGTCAGGATTCAGGATTCAGGACAAGGGACTCGACCGAAAGAAGCTTCAATGCTTTGAACATTTGGCGCCCACAGCTTTCTCTAGCTTCTCTCACCGTGCATCGGTCCACCACCGTTACAGGCCGATCTACCATATCCTAGCTGCCTAGGTCCCTCCCAAGCAACCTACCTTATTTTTGATTCGACTGGGGCCACTGACTGGAACCACGAACATTGGACATTGGACATTGGACATTGGAAGAAGGGAGGGGTTATTGCCGCCTCTCTTCTAGTCTTTCTCTCTTTCTCTCTACTCGCACGCAAGCGCACACTAATCGACGGGGAACTCCTTTTTTTATTTTTTATTTTTTCCATTTTCCATTTTCCATTTTTCTCTGACTGTTGACTTTTTGGTTGGTTTGAGTTGATGAGTTGAATTGTGTTGCGATTTTTATCGCTCACTTACTCGCTCTCACTCACTCTTACCTTCAACTACGACAACTTATTGTTGACGACATTATTTTTTTGTTGTTGTTGTTGTTGTTGTCGTTCCTTTCTTATTGAGAGCAATTCGCTTATTCCGCGCTCACTTGCCTTGCCCCATTTTCCTTCATTCCCATCTTGGCATTGCACTCCATATATGGTTTCTCTCTCTCAAGCGCATCGCATCTTGGGGATTACAACTACATCTGCCTCTACATCTGCACTCACGCCACAACACAACTTACTTCCTACTTCTACCGCAATCTACAATCTACTCCTATTCTTCTCGTTCGGTCACCTGTCTCCTTCCTCCTTTATCGACGTAAAAGCGCGCGTCGTTGACATTGGAACATAATGGCTACCATGAAGAAAAGGTTATAACTTACTTATCTACTACTAATTTTTCACCAAACTGACTCTGACCTTCTCTGACTTGGGACACACCCCGAGGTTTTACTATATTCCCTCCCCCCACCACCGCCACGCCACCACTTAGAAGAAAAGGAATTGCGACTAGCGCTGTCCCAGTCCCAGTCCAGTCCAGTTCAGTCCAGTCCACCTTACCTGCCCCTAGGCGCTTCTTGATGTGGTTTTCCCAAGTCCAGTCCACTCATTGGCAATTCCTGATTTCGGGCCGTCAGGGTCATATTCGTCATACTCAGCCAGGGCCACAAAGTCTGCAGTCCGCCACTTTGTCCTCACAACCTTTCTTCGGGGCTTGCTTGCGCTGGTTGCAATTAATTCTTTACTACTGCTGCACTTTTTTATATTTGCTGTCGCATCACTTACTGCTCTCGTATATATCATTTGCCGAGTATGGTTGCTGACGTTCAATTTTCTTAACATAGACCGCCGCATCTAGCCACCAACATGAATCAACACTCCCCCACGTCTTCTTCCGGTCCGGAAGATGCCGCCGAGAACACTGCCGACGAAGAGGATTCCGAAGATTACTGCAAGGGTGGATATCACCCTGTGCAGATCGGGGAGAAGTTCAAGGATGGGAAATACACGGTTGTGCGAAAACTAGGATGGGGTCACTTCTCTACGGTATGGCTATCGCGAGACAACACGAACGGTAAGCACGTCGCGTTGAAGGTAGTGCGATCCGCCAGCCACTACACCGAGACGGCCATCGACGAGATCAAGCTACTCCAAAGAATCGTGCAAGCGAATCCCAACCACCCAGGCCGAAAGTACGTCGTCAGCCTGCTCGACTCGTTCGAACACAAGGGACCCAATGGAGTGCACGTATGTATGGTATTCGAAGTGCTCGGAGAGAACTTGTTAGGCTTGATCAAGAAGTGGCAACATAGGGGAATCCCTCGAGATCTCGTCATGCAAATCGCAAAACAAGTATTAATGGGCCTGGACTACCTACACCGAGAATGCGGCATCATTCACACAGATCTCAAACCCGAGAACGTGTTAATAGAGATCGGAGACGTCGAGCAGGTGGTCAAGAAGGTGGTCAAGAACGAGAACTCGGACAAGGAGAACCATAGGAACGGACGCCGAAGAAGAAGGACGTTAATCACCGGCAGCCAACCTCTGCCATCTCCCCTGAATGCGAACTTCAATCGCGACAACCTATTCCCGTCGCCCAAGTCTCACAGCAGCCTCAACGCCATGTTACACGAATGTATGTACCTACATAAGACTCCAATCCTCCCGCCCACCCGCTTCTGCTGGTGTGGCATTGCTGCGTTGCGCCCGTCTTAGCAGTGTTAATATTCCCACTCCCACCACCTTATAAACCCCGCCCCCACATTCACAAGCCACCCCCAATATCATCTTCCCCTGATAATATGATGATTTTTTTCCGGCATAAACGCTAACGAAAAGTTGTAGCAACGACGCCAAGCTCATCCACGAGTGACAAGCAAGGACAGAGGGAAAAGACAGCGTGAGTCCAATTTATAAGTTAAACGTTGGTATGAATGATTCAATTACTGACATGAGTTGATTCGTAGTGATCTCCTGACTAAGGAGGTTTCCGGAATTTCCCTCGATAAATCCGTCGGTGGCACAACGTCAACAGGTGAAAAGAGAAAGAGAAAGAGAAAGGGACCCATCATCAACGTCAAGATTGCGGATTTGGGGAATGCATGCTGGGTCTCGCACCACTTCACAAATGATATTCAGACGAGACAATACCGATCGCCCGAGGTCATTCTGGGAGCGAAATGGGGTGCAAGTACCGATGTTTGGAGTATGGCGGCAATGGTAAGCTTCCTCATTTTGTCCCTAAACCGTTCAACTTGGAATCAGGAGCTGACATGGAGATGGTCAATTAGGTATTCGAACTGATTACAGGCGATTACCTTTTCGACCCGCAGTCCGGCACCAAGTACGGCAAAGATGACGATCACATTGCCCAAATCATCGAGCTACTCGGTCCTTTCCCCAAGGAGCTTTGGAAGACCGGTCGCTGGTCTCAGGAGATCTTTAACAAAAGAGGCGAACTTCGCAATATCCACCGCCTGCGACACTGGGCTTTACCTGACGTGCTCCGCGAGAAATATCACTTCAAGGATTACAAAGAGTTATCTCCGAAGGACCGAGAAGAGAAAGAAAAGGCCCAGAGAGAACGAGCCGAGGCCAAGGTCAAGGCTAGGATGGAGGCGAGAAAAAACGGCGAGGACGAGGATGCCGTGGACGATCTCTTCCCGGATGACGAGCCGAGTCTCGAATATCAGCCCACCGACGTCTCCGACTTTCTACTACCCATGCTCGAGCTAATCCCCGAAAAACGCGCCAACGCAGGCGGCATGGCAAATCACCCTTGGCTGGACGACACCCCAGGTATGGAGGATATCAAGCTTGAGGGACTCGTGCCAGGCACCAAGGGGGAAGGAATCGAGGGATGGGCTTGCGAGATAAAGAAACGGTAGAAAACTGGTTCTGACTGCATGTCCATACCTTTCCGCCGCGACCCTACCAGCTTCTGGAATGACGGTGAGTAATGAACGATGGTCTACGAGCAGATACGTTGAGGGCAAGGGTTGGGGCGGAGATGGATGAAGGAAGCTACGCAGAGGAGAAGAGAAGAGATGATCGAGTCCTTCCTTTTTGCTAGGGAGTTTCTATGGAAAGAATCAAGGAAAGGGAAAGAGAAGACAAGAGACAAGAGAAGAAAGATGAATGAATCTAACTATGATAGACAACGGACAACAAACAGGCCTCTTCGTTTTCTTCGATCACATCGCACATGATTCATGAGATTCGAATTCGAAGTCGTATTTGCACAGTAAAGTAAAGGGGACGGGAGTAAAGAAGAGAAGGGGTGAGAGTCCGGAGAAACCGGAAAGGGGAGAGAAGAGGAGAGGAGAGACGAGTGGCAGAGAGCAGTGAAGCAAAAGTTTCGGGAGTCGTAGGTAACAAATACTGTTTTACGTGTTTACTAGTAGAACTGGATTTATTTTCCCCCTTTCTTCTACCTACTTCTCATGATCTTAGGCTTTTTGATGCTCTGTCTTGGACTGAGACAGTTGCGTGTAATGGGGAGATGGGTTGGGTTGTATGTGAGAGATCTCGTCCAGCCTCTGACGTGGCAGACAGACAGTGTGCTCACAAGTGGAGGATTATCTTGGAACTCCTTTTCTCTGTTTACAGATTCAGTAAGGGATGGTTTGCTGGTCTTGTTTAAATCATATACTGAACGCAAGGCAAGGTAGGTTTATGGTATGTGGTGTATACCATACAAGTAGCACTCGTCAAGATTTCCTTGGGTAGTTTTCCGGTCATGCCCCCTTTGTTGACACAGTGTCTTCCTCCGCAACTGATGACGTGTTGTCGTATATACATGAACCCTTTCTGAGCTGCCCGTGTCTGGATCTGACCACATGCGATGAGTACGTGGTTCTCTTGCTTACACTTTGGCAGATCCAGGGACGCCACATGGTATGTTTGAAGATGAGAATGAGTTTAATGGGTAGATACTGAAAAGACCATATATACAAGTAAGAAAGAGTACTTCTAGATACTAACGAGCGAATCCCTGGGGAGACAGTATAAAGTATTACCAGAACCGAACGCTTGACACCATGGGCAGGTACAACGACCTACACCACCCAGCAGACGGGGACTTTACACTAGCATGATGTGTGTAATCATATGTACACCTGGGACTGAATTCCTTGTGCTCAAGTCCCGTCCCCGACCCCCCACGACAAACAAGGAACTACATACTTAGACACAAACAGCAATACGGATACCAACGTACGTAACGGGAGGGGTCCCAAGCCATGAGCTTCATAGCGCAGGCGGAAGCGCGCCGGGCTCGTGACCCGGAGGTCCTCCGATTGAAACGGAGTGAAGCTACTCTTTTAATTTGTTTCTGGTGTAAACCTAAACAACGAGCGTGGGTATACCGTACGATAGAGGCCGTGGAAAGGACCAACAGAAAAAGCGTACCGCAATATGAAAAATGGAGTCGATCCAGGGCACGAAAGCATTCACGGGAAGAGGAAGATGCAGCCATGCCATTGTACCACTAGATCTTCGTTGGATGAAAATCGTTTCCTTGTTCGTCCTTATGTAGCAAATTATTGGATAGGTGTTAGCACGCTGTGGTACTGTGTCACAGAGTAGGGCAGTTTGCTCGGTCACAATGAGGGCACACCAGCTTGGAAGAGGTCCTCTGCCATGGCTTAGGTACGTAATAGTATCAAGTCACGAGGCACAAGGCACACGTCTGGATGAGAGGGCACAGTCTGGTAGATAGCAATATCTTCACTTCAGAAGCCCAAAGCCTATAGCAACGATGTCCTAGGTTAGGTATCTGGCATGCTACCTAATAACCCCAACCTGACGATATCCCTTCGTCCTTCGTAGTAACCTCCTTAGTACCCTGCATATAGCTAGCTACCTGCCAGTAGGGCATAGTACAGCAGCATGGGAAACATTTTGTTTTTCTCGTGAAACAAGAGAGATAGACGTGCCGACCCGAACTCCTAGCAAACGTACATGCCCATAATCATACGCAGCAGTACTGTACTGAACCCCTTACCAAACCAGCGATTCCAATCTGACGGTACCCATCTTGCTGCACACACCTCTCGAGGCGGAAAGACAGAAAGAAAGACAGACCCTAGGCGGCCCTCTTCTTCTTCATGGTCATCTTGCGGAAGGCCTCCATGCCGCTGGCGCCGATGGGGCGGTTGGCGGGGGCGCTGTTGGAGTCGAAGGTGCTGCGGGGGGCGACGGTGTAGGTGGTAGGCAGGGCGGCGACGCGGGCGGCGCTGACGGCCTTGGCGGGGCCCAGGATGCGCGCGCGCTCCTCGGCGGCGATCTGCGCCGCCGTGCGCTGGTTCAGCGTGAGCTGGCTGCTGCTGGCGCCGACCTGGCGGAGCTTGGCGGCTCTGTGATATTTGTTAGCATGTATGTATGTATATATATACTATATAGAGATAAATAGATATAATGGATAGATAAAAAAAGTAAACGTACTGGTAATCAAACTCGCGGGTCTCGACGTGGCGCTTCTTGTAGTCGTCGGTGCGCTTGAGGATGGGTCGGCTCCACTCGCCCAGGAGGCGCTCGGCCATGCGCTTGATGCCGACCTCGGGCTTCTTGCTCTTGGTGTAGAACAGCACGACCTTGCCGATGCCGCTGGAGCGCAGGGCCTCCTTCTCGATAGGAAGGTGGGTCATGGCTTCGAAGATCTGGCGCTGGATGTTGTAGGCCGGAAGCGAACCGTCGTTCAGGGGCTCGAGGAAGAACTTGACGTGCTGCAGGAAGTTGGTGTCGGGATCGACGACGGCTTGTTGGTTGTTGTTGCGGTTCAGCAGGGCCATGACCTCGGGAAGAAGCTTGAGCTTGTGCAGAGCGGGCTGACCGGCCTCGCGGGCTTGGTTGTCGGCCTGGCAGGCGTTCTCCATGCGGACCTTGAGGTCGGCGATGCGGTCATCCAACTCATCTTCCAGGTCCTGTATTTCGTCTTGTAAGTAAATCTATCATAAGAGAGAATATAAAAAAAAAAGTATACGTACGACATCGTTATTCCTTATTCTTCGTTTATTCTTGGGCTTGGACTGGTTTTGAGCGGCGCGCTCGATAGCTCGGCTTCGTCGCTCCTCGGGCGTTAGATTCTCGGGTTCGGGCTCGGACTGTTGATCCGGAGCATCCGCACTAGGAACCTTCCGGGCTCGCTTGGTGTGCAGGATCTCACCGTCGGCACCGTCGTTGTCGTCGTCGCGGTTGCGCTTCTTGGCTCGTCGACCTTCCTTGGGCTTCTTGGTGGCAGTTCCCTTGCGTCGCGAGGCTTTTAGGGTACGGGCGGCATCTTCGTCGATGACTTGGGGTTCGGGACGCTTCTCGTCGATGCGAGCGGTGGCGGGATCGTAGTCGTCGAACTGGTCTTCGTCGATATCCGATAGGGCATCCGAATCTTTATCTGAATCGCCGGCACGGGCAAGATCGTAGTCACCTTGGTCGTTGTCCTGCTCCTCGCGGAGGTTCTGTCCACCCGCGTCGGATTCGACGTCCGACATTTTGGTGGTAGAAATGTGGAAGATTTGGTGATGAGGAGGATGTGATGGATGATTCGATGAAAGGTGAGAAGGCTGATGAGGATTCCTAGTTTCCCGTAGTCTCCTGTATTCGACTACCGAAGAATCAAGAAAGAGGCGCAACTTGGATTCCTCAGGTGTCCGAGGAGTGGTTATAATATTGATCAATCAACCCGATCGAAGACCACAAACTGTATGTGTGTAGAATTGTGTTAAAGAGTTGAAAGATTGAAAAAAAGAATTTTGTTTGGTGTTTAATGTTGGGTGACGATAGACAACATAGTTAAAGAAGAATTAAAGGTACGATTGATGAACTTTGACAGGGGTGGAACGAATTCATGTTGGCTCGTGCACGGAACGCGTCAAGTACCCAAGTACTGTACTTATGTACTTACATACATATGTGGGTACGTGCACGGCTTACTCATCCCATTCAAGTTCTCAATCCATGTCATGCTAATTTTTGTTTACTTTGGAGCTGACGGTTGCCAACAGGAACGAACAACTGATTCCAATCCACCTCACAAAGAAGAAATAATAGGGACCGACCCATAGCTAAAGCTCTCTAGATATTTCCGATATTTCCACATCTCGTCTTGCTACCTCTCATCATCGATTGGTCTCTTGCTACAATAAACAATTCCGCTCTCCGTATATCCGACGGGGATAATTGGAATTGTCTATCGAGGGCTACCTAGTATGGATCGACGAACCTACGAATCTCCCATGGATTGGGAATACCAGACTAATGGTCCCATGGATCCGTCGAGCCCCTTTGTGCAATCGACGAGAAAGTTACAGTTGCAAGCCCAAAGTATGAAATACCTAGCTCCAACCTTTTTCGTCTGTGTACTACCACAATTACGCGCCCAGAAAAGATATTTTGACCGTTTTAAACATATTGAACAAACATGGACAACCCAAGCTAATCATAGCAAAACAAAATCTAGATTCCTTCGCCTCTTCCAACATGAACACCAACGGAGGTAGCGCCTTCGGGCACAATCCCTTTAATCGCACTCAGAGCTCCCCATCTCGAACTTCTCCATCTAAACCTCTACCACCTACGCCACCACATCAACCTTCCATCTTCGCTCCGAATGCCTCCCTTCACAGAACAATTACTGCGCCGCCCTTCCGCAATCCTGCCTTTACCACACCAAGGAAACCCTTCGACGCCGATGCCATCTCCGAATACTCAGCTGCCGAATCCAGTCCAGCCGCTACTGACGCCTCGGACTTCCCCGACACCCCTGAGAATGATCATTCTTACGACGTCGGGCGCATGACCATAACACCCGCCACCATGAACAAGAACAGATCGTCGCCTAAGAAGTCCGGCAAGGGCGAAATCTCTACCACGATATTCGCCTCACGCGACAAGGTGCGCAAGAGAAAGCGCTACAATGAAAACCGTGACGTCAGCGGACTCCGTCTCCCTTACCTTCAGCAGGACGAGTACGACGAGTCCGATTACGAGTCGGACGAGAGTACCTTTCCGCCGAACAAGCCGCGAAGCAACCAGATGCAGCGCAAGAAGGATAGTTGGTTTGGGACGTTCCTGAGCACTATCCAAAAGCACCCGTACGCCCCGAGCATCTTGGGGTACTGGGTCACTTTCGCATTTAACCTGTTCTGCGTCTCGGGCGCGTGCTGGGTGGCCTGGGCCATCATCGGCGGGTTGCGCCAGGATTTTCTGCTAGAGAAGGAGGCCAAGAGAGCCGAAATCCTCGGCGTAATCGAAAAGTGCACAAGCAACTACGTGAATAACAAGTGTGCTCCTCCAGAGAAACGATTGCCGGCCATGTACCAGATATGCGAGGAGTGGGCCGAATGCATGAACAAGAACCCGGACAACGTCAAGCAGATCGCCAACGGCGCCAAGGAGATGGCCAGGATCATGAACGATATCGTGGACACCATGTCCTACAAGACTATTGTGAGTATTTTGACCTAACATCGTATATCGTACGATAGCTCAGGGGCACAAGCAGCTAATCTTCGAATAGGGTCTCTTCATCCTCCTGTTCACCATCTTCATCTTCAGCGGCCGATCGCTGTACAAGAGCACCACGGCCTTCTCCGAGTTTTCGCACTCGCACCCTTCGAACCCCTTCCCGTCCCACCGCGCCGGCGACCAGCACCACATGCGGCCGCCCTCGCAGCACGTCTACTGGCAGGCCGTCGAGCCCCAGACCCCGCGCCACAAGACCTCCCGCCAGCTCCTGGCCGCCCACGACGACACCCCCGACACCGACGACGGCCCCCAGCGGTTCAAGGCCTTGCCGCCGCCCGGCACCCCGCTCTCGAGAAGGAGCCCGTCCAAGGGCGAGAGGGGGCGGAGTCCGGCCAAGAGTCGCAGCCCGACGAAGAGGTATTAGGATTGGACAGAAAAGGGGAAAAGGGGAGGTGTATGATAAGTCGGCGTGAAGTGGTGACGCCGAAATGGATGCTTCTAGGGTTCGAATCCAGTAACGATTAAGCTACCTAATAAGAATACGTGCGTCGGGAGTTATCCCGCGGTAGCTGAGCACGTATGTATGTACATAGGAAGGCAGACATGGGATTGTAGCGGAAATCAAAGTTCGCCCTTTGGGAAATGATGTGCTTACATACGTATGTACCTGTGATTTGCTAGGCGACTATGGTATGACAAATTGATAGGGTACGAGGCTTGGTCTCGCTTGGTTTGTGATATTCTACCTTAAGCAAGGTAAAGCTAAGTTCGGTTGTCTTTACGTATTGACTTATTGCTAGAACATGAGTTTCTTGGGGTACCTATTGAATGGACTCGTAATGACTATGCTCTAG